TTTGATATACTCAATATCAAAGTCAAATGCTGAAAGTAGGCTCTGCCAAGAAGTAAAAATTTGTTTTTGAGCTAAATTCTGGACATCTTTTTTAAAGATTTATTTTGCTGTAGAACAATTAACACGAATTAAAATATGTTGATTTAATAGATCATCCTGGAATTTAGAAACACATTTAACAATAGCTAAATATTCTTGTTTTATTGTCGGATAATTTAAAGCTGCTTGCTTCCAGGTTCCTGAAGTAAAACGTAAAGTTCTTTTTTACTGTTGGGATTAAACTGTTTTAAGATACCCGCCATAACCTTGGTTAGAGGCATCTGTTTCAACTATCTTTTTCCATTCTGGATTTGGTAAGGCGAGACAAGGAAGAGTCTTGATTCTGAGTTTAATTTTCTGAACGACTTTTGTATGTTCTGGACCCCGTGGTGAAGGATTTTTGCGAAGTCTGGTATAAAGAATTGCAGCATCTGTTGCTAAATTGTGGTAGTAATCATGAATATAATTTAAACTACCAAGAAATCTCTGTAATTGAGTTTTATCTTTGATTTAATCAGGAAATTTTGATGCAAACTCAATACTTCTGTTAATTGGAATTATAGTGCCATTATGAATATTATGGCCTAAAAATCGGACAGTAGTTTGAAATAGTTTCATTTTTGGTGCAGAAACAACCAAACCATTTATGATAATAGCATGCTTAAAAATATTAAGATGTTTAATATGCTGGTCAATTGAAAATGAAAAAATAAGAACATCATCAATATAACAAATAGCAAATTCTGTATAAGGATTGAATAGGTCATTCGTGATGTGCTGGAATTCAGATGGAGCATTTTTCAATCCAAATGGCATAACATTCTATTCAAAATGTCCAAAAGGTACTATAAAAGCAACTTTATACCTGTCTTGCTCGGCGATTTGTATCTGCCAATGTCCTGATTTCATATCAAATTTTGAAAATATAATAGCATCCTGTAATCTATCTAAAAGATCTTTTTTATTCGGAATTGGATACCTTATCCATTAAGGCATCATTAAGAGGTTTATAATTAATAACCAATCTTGGTACACCCCTTTCAATTTCTGCATTTTTGTTAACATAAAAGGCTGTACAACTCCAAGGAGAATAACTTGGTCTGATAAGTTTTTTCTAGAGAGTATTTATTTCTGTTTTGCACATTTCTAAATACTCTTTTTTCATTTGATTTGGGTGCGATCTAGTAGGAATAATGCGCTCATTAAATCCTGGTTCATAACGAAGAGAAACTATGTGTTTCTTTTTTTCCCAAAAAGCATTAGGAACATCACTGCAAATTTTTTTATGGAATTCCTATTCAAGGGATTTAATTTTGTTCTGTAAAGAAGATTGCTGTAATCTTTGTTCTGTAGTGAGAAAATGAATTTCTTTCTGTAAGAAATAAATTTGTTTTTCTTTAAAATTAACTAGATCCTTGATTTGATCTAATTCTTTTGTATAAGGTTCTGCTATAAATTCAAAAATAATCTATTGATTATTTAAAGTTATGTATGCCAATAGAATCAATTTTAGTAATTGGCATCAATAAACATAGAAATGGTGTCCCTAAGATGATTGCTTGAGACATATTCTTAATTGCTCCTTTGGAAATTTGCGAACTCTTTGATCTGCAAAAAACAAATATCTTCGCAGGCTCTTAGACAATCTCCAATGGTTACTCAAATCTATCATCAAATTTGAGTTTGGTGAAAAATCACTCATTTTTCTTGCGCCAACAATTTTATCAAATAGGTATCAAATTCAGGATTTCATGTTTCTTTCATCAAACTGATGATCAATGTACCTTTCATCAAATCACTGTTCATAGCCGTTTGATTTTAACCTCCGGATGACCACCTCAAGGCTCAAGGCAAAAATTTGTGAAAAAATTACACTGACCGGTCAACCACCCCGGTCATCCTCCTAGTTGTCTGCCCGGTTGACTCCCCAGATGACTACCTCAAGACAAAAATTTGTGAAAAATTTACACTGGCCAGTCGACTGGCCGGACATCCACCTGGTCGATTTGATGAAAAATTTGATGCACCATTGGAGATACTCTTAGCCTTCACTGACAGTTACTTGGATAACATTAATTAGAAAACAATTTATCAAAAAAAAAAAAAAAAAATTAGAAAACAACAAATGCGGAGAGGCTCACCGCTCCCCAACACGATCTCTTATTGTATTCTTTCTACGTGATTGTGAGCTGTGTGACATCTGCTGATTAAAGACAGAGTGCGTAGCACCTTAAAGACAGCTTTGATGAGATTTCCCATCATTGACTTTGTGAGTAGAATTTGAAATTTTCAAGAATTGGGTTAGCTGAGGAAGATAAGGGCCCCGTTTGGTGTAGCTGTTAAAACAGTTTATAGATTATAGCTTAACAGATTATAGATTATGACTTTAATCAGAAGTTGTTAATCTGTTTGGTGTAGCTTTTGGATTATAAATTTAAGTTGTTGAGTAGTGTTTGTTAAATAAGCTGTGAAATAGCTTTTTCAATTAATTTTTATTTTTTGTTTGTCTACATTTCTCATAAAAAATAATAATAATAATTTATAGTCCATTTGAGTCTTTTTCTATTTTTAAAAAAATGAAAAATAAAAAAAATTAAGAGTATTAACCATAAATTAACATGTCCACAGTAGAAGCTGATAATCAGAAGCAAGGGGTGAGCAGTTTCTCAGAATCAGCTTTTTTGAGTTAAAATAAGCTGTTAGAACCAGAAACTGTTTGAAATAAGTTTAACCAAACAGTCCAAAATAACTTTTTCAAAGCTAAAAGCCATAAGTTGGCTCTGAAAAGCTGAAACAAACACCCCCAAGAAGTCTCTTACCATATCCGGCTCAGAAAAGATAACCTTACTATCTTCCTACTGGATTATGTGTTCTGTGCTTAATCTTTCAAATATGAAATAGCTTGAAATGCTAAAAATCATAAATGGATCTATTATTCTCATTCATACATATGGAGTTGCAATGTCAGAAAGGGGCTAATTGTATTAGAGGTTTTTTTCCTGGCCAAATAGAGAGTGCATTTGTTTCATTATTTGTACCTACCTGGGTAAGTATGGCTCTGAAGACAATTAATGTGTGAGTTAAGCATATTCAAAAACTTAATGTTGTGATTAATATTGATATGGGTCTCCGTAGTTTTGTGGCTACAACATTTGCAATAAGAAAGATCAATGTGGGTGCATTAAGCTCTATGGTTCTAATGACTACAAGCTCGCACTCGATTTCACATGTATGGACTTCTGTATATCTTATTAGGGACTTAAAGCTGCTTTGCTATTGTTTTATGGTTTCCAACCATTGTTGCTGTGGAGTAAAAGCATTTGCAGAAAAGCATTGTGAAGCTTCTTTTGAAGCTAATTTTCAAAAAAGAAAACAAAAGAAAGGGAGAGAGAGAGAGAGAGAGAGAGAGAGCTTCTTTTGAAGCTATTTTGTGTCAGTTTGTCATTTGATCTTGTCATGCTTGCCAGGTGGAGCTTGCCATTGAATGGCCTATATGGTGAACATTTTTTTTATAAATAAAGGGTAGGTAGCAAATTCTGCCGGGTGTGTGTGCATTCGGTTACAATTGGCAAATTAGATCATTTTTTTCAAAAGATTATTATAGTGAGGATGATTTATACAATTGGCAAAGTAGCAAGCTATAGGATGACTTGAAAACATTAAGTTGATATAGGGAAGATTTTGATTGTCATTTCAGGGATTCCTGATAAAATAATTTTTGTAGGGAGTCACCAAAAAACTAAACTAAAGGAGGTGCCAAAGAAATATCAAGAACATTATGGTATGGAAGTCTTGTTTTTTGGGAAAT